TGAGGCTATAAGTTATTTACTTTTGTGTGTTTTTGTCAGGCAGAAATTTATTTATACCCCCTTAGGGTGTAAGAGGTTAAAATAAGTGCCTTTGTTCTTGGATTGAGGAGGTTAAAGATACATTTTGCCGATGGAACAAGAGGATTTATACTCAAAATAAGAAAACACAATTCCATTGTCTTATTTCAAGTGCATGGTATGTAATTATCTTATTTTAGGAGTAAAAATACTCATTCCATTGGCAAACTATCTCATTTACCTACTCAAATTAAGGGTAAATACACTTAATTTAAGAAATTTTTACTTATTTCTAGATTGTTTTTCCAGTGTCTAAACTCTATGAATTACAGAACCTCCTTACCGACCGGCTCCACCTGTAAACACGCCATAAATGCAGAAGGATTATTTCTTCCAGATGCTAACTGAGTATTTATTCCGTGCATCAAACCCAGATATTAAAGTAGAGGAGTCAGTAGAGATGATTCCTGGTTCTTCTCCCACCCCAATGGGGGAGAACCAGGAAGATCCAGATCCTGTTAGGCCCAGGAACTCCAAACTAATGCAAACAATCGTTTCTCAGCATTTCACTGGTTTAGGATATTTATCATGTCTAAAGGGTTTCCCCGGTAAACGGTGGATCGCTTAGCCAAGGGTCTGCATCTATTGCCTTTAGGAGCAACTGTTCTGCATATTTCAGTTGTTCCATGGGCTCCACACTCTTGACTTAGATAAAGTTTTAAGACCCCTGGTCTGAATACTTTGGTCTGACTCCCTGAGTTTAAAGCCAAATATTTAATTCTTCATGCCTTTAGTCCACCTGAGTGATTACAGTCATCACAATAGCTGGGTATCATCAGCGTAACAACAGAATCGACCCTGTGGATCTAATAAAACCAGTGATGAACATTGCTAATAGCATTAACCAGCATTAACCAGTTCCCCTGGATTCTGCCCCACCCCTGTCTGTTGCTGCAGCTGGGCGGCTCCTTCCTGCTGGGTATTGGGGTCTGGGTGTTGGTGGACCCAATGGGCTTCAGGGAGATTGTGGCTGTTAACCCTGTGCTGTTCACCGGGGTCTACATCATCCTGGCCATGGGGGGCATGCTGTTCCTGCTGGGCTTCCTGGGCTGCTGTGGAGCCATCCGAGAGAACAGATGTCTGCTGCTGTTTGTGAGTCACTCTCATTAGAAAAGAAGGCAGGTGGTGTTAACGCTGAGCTCACTTTAGGGCTTTAACTGGACCTATTTCAGAGAGAGAAGTAGAAATGCATATCAGTGTTTGCAGGAGGCTTCATTCCTGAGCTCAGAGGATAAATATTTTACAGAAAAACGGGTTAGTTTATAGAAACTGAAGAATTGTCATTGTCTCCTTATTATCTCCTCTTTCTTTCATCTTTTCTCTTTTTTTCCGTTTTTCTTCTTCTGTTTTTTTGCTCTATTTACATTGCAGTGTCCATATA